CTGCGGCTCCTCCACGCGGCTCCCGGCTCCGAGTCGGCATCGGCATCGGCAGCAGCAGCATCATTAGAGCAGCGTCATGAGCATCCATAACTCATCATGGTCATCAACATCATCAGCAGCAGCATCAGCATTGGCACAGCAGCTGCATGAGCACAACAGCTTCATGATCATTCCTCATTAAGAATTATCATCATCATCACTCGAATTATTTGGGTCTTGCGGTCAAGTCACGTAGATAGGTTCAAGGAAAATAACAAAAAATAACAAAACAAAAAAACTACGACGTTTCGATCGCAACACAAGCGTTCGTCATCAGGAAGAGGACCGAAAGACCCAAAGAATATGAATTCCTGCAGTCACGAAAGCTTTAGGTCAAGAATCATCACTCGAGTCAAGAGCATAACCAGGACAAAACTCAAAGCACTCGTCAATAACACTGGTATTAAAATGAAACATATAATCGGTGGCGTTTCAGATAATGGGTTCTTCTTCATAGCACAAACCATCCGCTATTGGCATCACCACCGGCGTCATCAATTTCATTGCCTGCATTGTAATCCAATCCACCGTCATGATGATGATGATCATCATCAAGCAGAATCGTCAGCGTCATCAATACTGCAGCATCATAATCATTATTTATAATCCATCATCATTCATCAGCAGCACAGTCATCCTCCACTGCAGTATCAGCAGTAGCTTCATCATCATCATAATAATTGACATTCATCATCACCTGAGTCAAATAATTACCACCATATTAAAATCATCATCATCGGCAGTATCAGCCTCATCACCGGCGTCGTCATCATCATCATCACCATCAGCATTATGTATGTTGAACTTCTTTCGCACCGTGCGTAGCCAACCCCGCTAATCGGTATCAGCAGCTGCCCCTCCCTCCTGCACGGGGGTCGGGCAGCCACCCACGGGGCAACCTGCGCGGGGGGCCCGGGCCACGACCTCCACGCAGGAGCCCCCCCCCCCCCCCGGGCCACGACCTCCACGCAGGAGCCCCCCCCCCCCCCCCCGTGCTTGGGGGTTGTCCCGACGCAGTGGGGGCGAACGTCGGCGCGCGCCGCCGCTCTCGAGCCCCCCACCCCCAGCCCCCCCCAGCCCCCCGGGGCTCGCGAACCGCAGTGGGGATCCTCGCCATGGTGACCGCAGCGCAGGTTGTGTGCGTGCGGAGATGAAATTGTTCCCCTTCGGTGAATTTACCCCGGGACCTCCATCATCATCATCGTCATCATCGTCGTGGTCGTCATCAATCATCATCATCATGATCGTCATCCTCGTCGTCTCGCTGCACCCCAGAGCCCAGGTTTCATCACAGGCCGGGCCCGAGACCCCCGGACTCGAACCTGGCGGCTGGGGTTGGCGCGCTAACCGCTGCGCCACCACTCACATAATCCACATGACTATCGTCAGTGTGCGAGTGCTATCTGAACCAGCCTTGCCCCCCCTCCTCCCATCCCCCACCACGCTCCGTTTCCCACGCACCCCTCCAACAATCATTACTGCTCAGCCGTAGAGAATTATGGTCAGCAGTCGATTGACAAAAGATACAGTGATCAATTAATACATAATTCAATTTATCTAGCGTTACTAGTTACCTGCCACGATTTGTGCTTGAGTTTTCCACAGCACCTCCAATCTGGCCTTCTCCACTTGCTAAATATATAACAATTGAACCCGGTCCTAAGTGTGTATGTAGATATTGGGCGACGATTCGGGTAATGGCTCTTCGTATATATGGATGTGCTATGAAGAAGGGCCATTGCCCGAAACGTCGACTGTGAGATGTATTTTATCTTTCGAGACCACGTCGTATTGTTGACGAAATATGTGCTGGGACGTTGTTATTTCTGGTTGTGCACCGCTGTGTGAACATAATGTGCAAACTCTAATACATACTGTATACATCCTGTGATGTGTTTTTCTTACAGTTGCGTCTTCATCGAGCAGTAGAATAAAAAAAAAGGTGCCTCTCAATGTAATGCGCGTTATCAATTGCTAAGCAAATTGCAACGCGAAATAAAGTGTCGGTCAGAACTTTGCAGAGCCACTTGCCTGTGAAGCTTTGGTCCAGTAGCCAGGTGAGAACAGCGGATTGTGTCGTGAGGCTCTGACGAATCAGAATCTTGATTAGTCTGAAGGAATCCGATGAGCTATGAAGCGCTTTTTCACACATGGCCAGTATAGGCGGGTCATGATGATGATGCTGATGGTGGTTGTGGTGGTGGTGGTTGTTGTTACGCAATTGAGGGGCACGTGTTGTTTCAAGACTATTAATGAATTCCCCGGTATTCATCGCCGCGACATCGCATCAACAACATCATTAAAATCTATTGTGTAAATTCATAACACAGACTAATCATTAGCAGCTTTGTGCAGAATCACATAAGCGTGGATTTTAAAAGGGGTGTTAAACAAATCACTGGCAAACGCAAGGTGAGTGACATAAATGCGTGAAAGGAGATCAGCAGGGCGCACAACAAGGAACATTCATGAGAATAATTAGAGACGGGCAAAGGTGGAGTTGTCGTGACGTGCGGCGAGAGAGCAAGAGGCTGAGCGTAAATGTTTCGACGGGGAAAATGAGAGGTACCCAGAGAAGTCGCAGAAGTACGGCGAATTAACTTTGAACAGAGGCAATTTGAATAACTGCGTGCGCCGGGGAGTGTGTGATGCACTGTTTTAGAAGAGTTAAGCATCGCGGAGAGAGACACACAAATGGAAGGGTGGTCTATGATCACCGACGTCTTTGGGAAAAGACACGGCAGGCCGAGAGACAATTTCACCTTCAAATGTCCGTTCGCTCGGCAACAAAGACACTTTGCAAAACGTGGTTCAAGCTGCCGTGACCCGGATTATGGATATCGCAGTTTACGTCGGCGTTCCCTGGATTGCAAGTCCAGTGTGCACGCGAACCATCGTACGCGCACAACGGCAGCACACTTTGAGGTTGATCACGATGGATTATATAACTGCGTGGTCGGATGAGATATTGGGCACTTCGATATCACTCACGCGTCGTAGTCCACTCCGCATAAACGTGGTGGGCTTGGAGGAGGTGCCGTACGCTGGTTCGCCAGGAGAGGGCAGTACAGCGAGTGGACCAATCGCCATCTGTTACCAACTAAACTCAACGTTGTTGTATTTTACCAGGTAGTGCCTACTGATTTATTGTGCAGGGATAGAGTGTTGTCCCCTCGCACAAGGCGTCCGTTTTCTCCGGGTGCTCTGGTTTCCTCCCCATGTTGTATAATAAACCCTCTTTATTAATTTCCCCCACCTCTGATGAGCACTGTTGGCTACGTACGGTGCAAAAGAAGTTCAGCATACGTACATACAATTGGCTGCAAAACATCGTTTAAACAAATACCCAATGTAGCAGGCCCATCGTGAAAAACATTGTCCTACGACTCAGCGTGGCTCTCTTGGACATATAAAGTCACACGGTCTCATCCTGTTGATATGCAGACACGACACGTTGAATACTCAGTAAAGACGGTGCATTGGAATCTTAGCAATAACAGGCGGCTAAAAAAAATTTCTCTGGTCTTAAGTGGAATGTGTGTGTGTGTGTTTTCTTTCAAGGGTGGAGATTGCTATTTTATTTTTTTCCTTCATAAATAAGATGTCCGATCGATTTTACGAATGATTTATATTCGAATTTAAAAGCAGCGCTGCTGGTGGTGGTGGTGATGGTGACATGCCGGGCAGCCCAGCTGGTGTGGTGTGTGTACGAGGGAGTTCTGCAGCGGGGAGCGGTCGTGTAGCGGTCAGCGCTGCGCCACCAACACCAGTGACGATTATCTGATGCGGTCCCGGGCCTCCCCTAGGTCGACTCAGCCTCAAATTGAGCACCTGGTGCTGTTAGGCGCAACTCGCTAATAGCACTTGCCCCAACAGTCATGTTACAGCCATGTTACAGTCATGTTACAGCCATGTTACAGTCATGTTACAGTCATGTTACAGTCATGTTACAGTCATGTTACAGTCATGTTACAGTCATGTTACAGCCATGTTACAGTCATGTTACAGCCATGTTACAGTCATGTTACAGTCATGTTACAGTCATGTTACAGTCATGTTACAGTCATGTTACAGGCATGTTACAGTCATGTTACAGTCATGTTACAGTCATGTTACAGTCATGTTACAGTCATGTTACAGTCATGTTACAGGCATGTTACAGTCATGTTACAGTCATGTTACAGTCATGTTACAGTCATGTTACAGTCATGTTACAGCCATGTTACAGTCATGTTACAGCCATGTTACAGTCATGTTACAGTCATGTTACAGTCATGTTACAGTCATGTTACAGTCATGTTACAGGCATGTTACAGTCATGTTACAGGCATGTTACAGTCATGTTACAGTCATGTTACAGTCATGTTACAGTCATGTTACAGTCATGTTACAGCCATGTTACAGTCATGTTACAGTCATGTTACAGTCATGTTACAGTCATGTTACAGTCATGTTACAGTCATGTTACAGTCATGTTACAGTCATGTTACAGGCATGTTACAGTCATGTTACAGGCATGTTACAGTCATGTTACAGGCATGTTACAGTCATGTTGGAGTGATTCCCCAAACTGCGCAGAGACTTGAGCTCGACTCCCGGGCACGGCGAGTGACATTCGGGATGGCACCCACCTGCACTGACCTCCAGTGTGGTGAAGTATGGTCAAACAACCCTCCCCCCCCGCCGCCCGGCTCCCCCACCAGTACTCGACAACAGCGTTGGGGGGAGTCCTTTCATCCAGCAGTGGATCGACGAAGGGCTGTGAAATGTTCATTGTTACCGCAAATCAGCGCGACATGGGCTCTCCATCATCGATGAGCTGTGCAGAGGAAGAGGGAGAGAGGGTGGAAGACGGTGGGGGGGGGGGATTGCTGGAGGGAGGGAGAGCGCGAGGTGTTGGGGTGGGGGGGAGAAGAAAGAGAGAGTGGGGGAGGGCGCGTGAACAGAGAGAGAGAGGCAGGGAGAGAGAGAGAGGCAGGGAGAGACAGAGAGGCAGGGAGAGACAGAGTGACGAGAGAAGAGGACGCGTGCCACGGATTGCGCTCCGGGTCTGCAGCGATATCATCACCATCAACATCACCAACCAACATCACCGCCACCACCACCGCTACCACCGCCAGCATCACCACCACCACCACCACTGCCATCAACGCGTCCGCTGGGGTGAGACGTTCTCTCGCTTCTCGGCCCCTCCGTCGCCACAACGATTCGTCTCGTTGCGAGCGTTGATGTTATTATCGTTGTGGTTTTTTTTGTAGTCATTCCTGTTATTGTTGTCGTTGCTGTTGTTGTTGTTTGTTGTTTAGTTTTTTATATCTGGTCGTGAGCGGGAGTTGCCCGCCTTCCCCCTCCGCCCGTCCATGGCGCAGCTTCCGCAGCTGGAAGCGGAGAGGGAGGCGCTCGGGTCCGGATTCGTGCACGCAGCGCGACTCCTACAGCGAGGTACGCGGCGGCTCCCACCTGGTTCATCCCCACACCCTACGGCTCCCACCGGCTCCCCCACGACCGCGTCTTCACCCACGGCCGTCACCCCCACATGATCATCTCCGGACTCCGCAGATGCTCGTTTCATCCCCGCTCTGACAGCGCTCCAGTTATCATCCTCACTCCCTTCCTGCCCCCACCCGGCTCTCGCACCTATTCCTGCTCCCAGCGGCTCCCACCTGGCTCTCAATCTGCTTGAACCCGCCCGCTGCAATTCTCCTTTGAATCCAAACTTTCTCTTCACTTAATCCCGCGCCCGTTAGAATCACATATTGCTCCCACCGGCTCCCAACCCTGCACTCTACCCCCCAAACCCGAGCTCTCCCCTTCCCTCCCCTTATCCACTCCTCTGCTTCACCTTTGAGCTCTTATCCAACTCTTACCCTGCTCCCACCGCCCCCATCGCTGTACCCACCGACTCGCAGCTGTGATTCTCTCTCTCTCACCTTGCTGCAATTCGGCCCCCTCTCACGCTGCTTTGATGCCCCTGCTCCCCTTCAATTACCATTCTCCTCTCCTTCTGCCCCCCCCCGTGCCCGGCACCCCACGACGTCCCACGCTGCCTCATCCACGCCAGTTTTCTCGACCTCTTGGATACTCCGTTTGATTGTTGCCGCAACTCCGACCCTTGGCCACGCCGGTTTTCATCTTGCTCGGCCGACACCTACTCTGCCCCCCCCACGTGGCTCTCTCAATCTGACTCCCTGCTCCCACCTCGACTCCTCTCCATTCTCCCCTCCGGCTTTGCATCCCGTGGCCCCGGTCCACTCTCGAGTTGGCTGAGTCATCCCCACGGTGCCTCCTCCACGACTCCTGCTACACCGGCGCATGGACAATTCTAGGGTCTGGGAATCTGGGACCCGGGGTCTGTCGTGGGGAGTTGTTGGGATTGTGGGGGAACGCACGAACCCCCCCCCCCCCAGCTTCCCCCCCTCCCACGCCCGCCTCGAGGAGTGATTGATGTAAGGGCGACTCACCCCCCACTGTGAGAGAGAGAGATCCAGAAAAAGTGCTTCAATTGGTGACATGCCGGGCAGCCCAGCTGGTGTGTACGGAGGAGTTGTGCGGCGGGGAGCGGTAGGTAGTGTAGCGGTTAGCGCGCTGCGGCGCTACGAACCCGGAGACCCGCGTTCCATTGTTGCTCACGGCCACCAACAACAGTGACGATTATCTGATGCGGTCCCGGGTCTCCCCTAGGTCGACTCAGCCTCAAATGAGTACCTGGCGTGGTGTGTAAACATCGCCACCGGGGAGACAAAGGTGGCCGGGCGTGGTGTTGGCCACCCACCCCCTCGTGCGCCGTGCCGGCCTTCATAGGTGCTCGCTAACAGCACTTTCCATGACAGTCTGTTAAAAGGCTGTATTTGTGGGGGGGGGGGTCTTTGTTTTTGTCTAATTCTTGACGAAGCCGCGTGCTTCGTCCGATTTATTCCGACGCGAATCTGTCTCCGAACACGCATCCACACGAACACCCATCCTCGAACATACGCACGCATCAACAAAGATCACCCCCCCCCCCCCAGCCCGTGCTGGTAGCGAGCACAAACAGTGTTTGTGTTGGCCAACACACCACTGCCCGGCCGCCTTTGTCTCCCCAGTGCAGATGTGAACTGATGCTCACTTAAGGCCGAGTCGTCGACCCAAGAGGAGGCCTAAGACCGGTTTAATAATTTGCTGCGAGGGGGTTCGTAGCGCAGTGCGCTAAGCACTACAATGCTACTCCCCACAGTACATATGCATATACATAAATTATTATTCTCCCACATAGCCGTATAGACTAGGACCTTTTCGCGAGTATCTGCTCGAGGCCAATCAGTTTCAAAGGCGATGCATATATGATATTTTCAGAGCATGTGTGTGTTGAATGTTCAGCGCAAGTACCGTGTGCGGTTAATGCAGGTACTTGATTCCTTGATAAATGCGAACTCTGGCGTTTGAACATCTCAGCACAACGCGTGTTTTGTTGCCAGAGAGGGCGATAAAACCTAGTCATGTTTCAGCCTTATAGACTGCTGGGGGCAAGTGTTGTTAGCGAACGCCGGATAAGTCCGGCACTGCGCACGAGGAGTGGGGGACCGGGCGGGGGTGACCAGTACCACGCCCGGCCGCCTTTGTCTCCCCAGTGCTACGTTTTAAGGTTCACTTAAATCGCAATAGAAGTTCGCCGTGGAAGGGAATCGAACCCATGTGGCCGGGTTTGTAGCAAACCGCACGGCCACTCCCACCGTGTGCGTTTCTACGACTGCACACAACCAGCCTCAGCTCGCCACTAAGTGGCGGTAACGTCACCGCAGCTCTTGTACCAGGCTCGGTACACTTGGATGATCGTGGTCGTCATTGTCATGCGTTGCATCAGACGCCAGCGACGAGTTTTGCTATGGAACCGCTGAGTTGCACCGCAGGGTTTCGACTCGTTGGTCGCGATGAACGTGGTTCCCCTGTGTACACGGTTCGCCGCAACGCGAGGCTGGGCGCCTAATAATCACCACCGTCATCATCATCAGCAGCAGTAGCCATGGGCAATCCACTGCTGGAAGAAGACCTCAAGCCGTCGACATCTGTCACGGCTCCTTGCCATGTAATGGGGAGCGGCGGCATCGGCGGGCGAGCGCACTGCGGTACAACACCGGCGACCCGAGTTCAAGTCCCGCGCACAGACAATTCATAAGAGTGGCGAATATTAGAACGGGGCCCGGGTCCTCTCCAGAGGTTGACTCGGCGCTTTAAAGCGAGTAGCTGGTGCGGCGGTTTATTAAATATCAGCCCTGGGGCCACATCGGCACCGAAGGTGGCCGGGTGCGTGGTGCCGGCCGCTCACCCCGCCCCATAGCGCGCCTTTTCGAAATCAGAATTTTTATTTAGACTCGTATATAATCCGATGAGCTATGATACTCTTTTGTTTGTTTGTTTAAACAGCTGTCCAGTATGGTCGGCATTAATAGGTGTTCGCTAGCAGCACTTGCCCCCAAATCGTCTCGAAAACGGCTCTACGTTTGGGAGAGGGATGTTTGGGAGAGGGAGGAGAGGGATGTTTGGGAGAGGGAGGAGAGGGATGTGTGGGAGAGGGATGTTTGGGAGAGGGATGTTTGCGATGCGATTAATCGACCGCGTGGCGGGCACGCGCAAGCGCATCTCGGCGCTCGCGGTCTGCTCTGCGTACCTCCTCTCGGACGGGTTCCATTCCTCTGACTACCGCTCCGTTACTATTCTCGCCCGGGGGGCGTGGGAGGGGGGGGGCGTGCTCGCGGCCATCGAATGTTTCCCGTGACCGGCTGCCCCTCCTCGTGGCGACTTGACGAGTTGAAAGTCTCGTCACGTCCCTTCATGTGTCTCCGCGCTGGGAAGTGCGACTTTGAGTGGCGTTCAGTGTCATCAAAGTGCCCATCTGCCCCCCCCCCCCGAACCGCCTTCTCTGAAGAAGGCGCGCCACGTGACCGGTGGCGATCGGCGTCATCCACAACATCACAAGCACCGCCAGCCTAATCATTATCGTCATCATCACTAGCATAATCACCGCGTCGTCACTATCACCACTAACACATCATCATTGTCATCATCATCACTATCACATCATCACTATCACATCATCATCATTGTCATCATCATGACTATCACATCATCGTTATCATCGTCATCATCACTAGCATAATCACCGCGTCGTCACTATCACCACCACCGACATATCATCATTGTCATCAGCATCACTATCACATCATCACTATCACATCATCATCATTGTCATCAGCATCACTATCACATCATCACTATCACATCATCATCATTGTCATCATCATCACTATCACATTGTCGTCATCATCGTCGTCACTATCACCACTGTCGTCATTATCACCACCACGTCATCGTCATCATCATCGTCATCATCATCGTCATTGTCATCATCATCGTCATCATCATCGTCGTCACTATCACCACTGTCGTCACTATCACCACCGCATCGTCGTAACCACCACGTTACAGACATCACAAGCGCTGCACGTGGTTTATGCAGCTGGCTGCAGGTGCTTCCACGAGCTAGATGAGGAAGTTCAAATCCCGCTCCTATGGGGGTCGCCAAATTGAGCACCGCTGTGGAGTCGTCACATTGGTGCCTGCCGTGGGAACGTGGAGTTTCTACCACTGGCTCAGCACCGTGGATCAGTGAATGATGGTGATGATTCGTGAATGGGTATATGATTGATGAATAGTGAAATGATGGTGATTATTATTTCAGCGATTAGGTGGATTATGGGATGACAATTAGCAGTGAATCGGTGAGCAATGATCATGGGAATAGGTAGATATTAATTATCGACGAATCGTTGGATGATAATTATGATCAGTGAATAGGTAGATATGACGGTAAGCGAATAGATGGACAATGGCCCGTGAATAGGTGATGATCCATGACTAGTTGGGCGACTATTATGATCGGAGAATAGGAAGATGATCAGTGAACAGGATGATTATAAGTGAATAGGTAGATGTGAAAATTGCTGAAAAGATGGACGATGACTCGTGAATGGGTGGATAATGATGGTCAATGAATAGATGGATGATGATTGGTGAATAGGATGATGTTGATGAGGATCAGGAAGTTTGGTCACCCCTGCTACACACATTCAAAACTGAGCTGGTGGTGGTGTTTGTTGTTGTGGCTGATAGGTCCAGGCGGTCACTTGTGTGGGCACGTTTTTGGTGGGAGTAGCCAAATCCATCCCCCAAATGAGACTGCAAACTTCCCTCCTGAAAATGAGTCTCGAGACCCAAAAATACATTTTTTCTCCGGAGGAATAAGTTACTTTGAATGTTAACAACGCGTCATTGTAATCCTCGACATCCTCCAAATCATCCATAATAGAGGTTTCTTTGGGTTAGATCGCGTAAATATATTAATGTGTCGTTAAAACCCGCCACCACCCGACACAGCCAACTAGTAAGGGTTGTCACGTAAACAGAAC